AAGGAAGGAAGGAAGGAAGAAAGAAAGAAAGAAAGAAAGAAAGAAAGAAAGAAAGAAAGAAAGAAAGATCTAGCACTTTTCTGTTTGCTGGTCACTTGACTTCAGAGAGAGGTTTATTTCTTATAGCCGAGTAAGCTTCAGACAAGGCAATGAATCCAGGCCTGGGACCAAAGATCAACCTATAGCTGAATCCCAGTTCTCCCATTTATTGCATCTGAGATCATAGAATCTCCTTCACAAGACATTTGTGAGGACTGCCTGAGACACCAAGTGTGGAAAGTACTTTTTCCTTCACTTTGCCATCATGGGGCTGATTTGCTAAGATAACGTCATTCTTTCATTAGTCTGAGAAAATACTTCTGTGATATAAATAACCTATAGTTCATATGGTTTATAAGTTTAAAATTCTATGTTTATTATTATTTTATGTTAAAAATTCTTTTTATTTAAAAAATCAGAAAATAAGAATAGTAATCTTACTATCTAGAGGTAAACTTACAATCAAATCACATTATACATACTGTTTTGTCTTCTGCACTTTAACAATATATCATAAACATATACTTATATATGCATCATCACAATTTATTGAGTATGTATACCATAATTTATTTAACCAACTCCTTAATGATGAACATTTAAGCAATTTTCTGTTTTGCTGTATAGTGTCGCAACAAATAGCTTTGTACCATAATTCCTTGAAAACTTATCAGAATATTTCCTTATAAAAAGCTCTTGGAAATATAAATGCTAGATCAGTATAGATTTTAAGGTCTTAAAAATATATTGCTTAATTACTGTCCATAAAGTACATTGAAATGTCCCTATCAGCAGAGGTCAGAACTGCCTGCATTCAGAGGCGCTGGACAGGGCAGAGAAGATTGCTCGGTGGTCTAAGTACCTGCCTGGCAAGCGCAAGGACCCAGGGCTAATCCCTGGTACTACATGCCATGCCAGCTCTGGAAGCCCTGTAATCCCAGCACTGGGGAGGCTGAGACAGGAGGATCACTATGAGTCCAAGATGCATAGTGAGACCCTGTACCAAATAAATAAATAGATTTTTTTTTAAAAAATGCTCTGGACAACATGCAATGCTATTTAATCTTTGGCAATAAATTTTTCATAGAAATTTTTAAAAGACTATCTGTTGATTTAAATTTCTTTACTTTAAAATTTCTTTTATGCCTATCAGCTATTTATTCTTCACTTATGAAAAGTTTCCTTCGCCTGTGTTTCTTGCTTGCATCAGAATCCCTCACAGATTAAGGTTAATTGTCTCCACTTTATAAGCTGTAGATGTGTTTTCTTAGTTTGTTTTCTGGTTTTGCTTAGGGTATTTTGCAAGGGTTTAATGTTTCCAAAAGGCATGCTCAACCCGTATCCGAGAAGTATTGGGTCTCTCTGGTTTGTTTGTGAGCATTTCAGAGGCCTGCAGCCACTAACATTTCTTGGAAAATAGATTGACAGCTTCTGGTCAAAGAAAATTTAGGAAATAAACATTTTAAATAGAATTATTCAGTGAGCATCTGTTTTGATCAGTTAACTCAATAAAATATAATACACTGCTCAGCGCATAAAACCTGTAGGACCTAGACAAAAATGCACTTTGTATTTTGTTTCAAGTTTCAAGTAGTTGGCTTAGGACCCCAAATAAGAGCCATTTATTCTAGTTCAAAAATTATCCACACATCTAAAATAGCTAGGAAAGGGCCGGCCAGATAGCTCAGCAGACCAAAGCGTCTGCTTAGGCAGAGCACAGTGGCCAGGGTTCAATCCCCAGTATGCCATGCCATGAGACAGCAATTGAGGCTAGGCATGGTGGCACGTGCCTGTAATCCCAGTGCTTGGGAGGTTGAAAACAGGAGGCTCACTATGAGTCCGATCTACACAGTGAGACCCTGTAGACCATGCACTAAATACATAAAAATAGCTAACAGCCAATATCTTTCTACTTGTACTTAGTGTGATTTTTTTCACCCTTCATACGTCAGAGCAAATGTTAAATACCACTTGATTATAAAATTATTAGTAAGTGAAATAGAAGTTATTATTTATAGGTAGAACCAAAGTATTATATCCTTTTTTCTTACACATATATATTTTATGTACTTGCCAAAAAATAAACTAAACATAAACTCTGAACATGTTTTGCACATCAAATAAGGCTCAGGTTTTCATATCATATATATACATAATTTACACATCAGTAAGAAATGTTTATGGTGTCTTGATCTCAATGCTTTTGCAGTTAAAATTATTTGTGTACATGTTTCATGCTGTTATAGCAAGTAGACAGAGATACTGATGGAAGGCTGAGGACTGGGAGCAAATGCAGGGTATTTAGTATGTGAACAACGCCCCAACGTTGCCCATCACAAGCACTGCCCACAGGATCGGGACACAGAGGCTCACTTAGCAGTTGGTCCAGTTTATGACAACAGTAGGTACTTTCTAGAAAGGTGAAGTACAGAGTTTATCTAATCCCATGATGACAGTCACAGTCCTGGGGTCATTACAGCATTTGTCGGAAACAGCATTTATCAGAAATAAAGCTGCTTACAAATGGAAACTGCTTCACATATGATTTGAGGAAAAAGAGTAAGTAGTGAGTTCATCTAAAGTTCAAGAGCCTTTCAAAATGAAATGAAGGGGGCTGGTGAGATGGCTCAGTGGTCTAAAGCTCCTACTTAGAACAAGCTTAGCAAAGCACAGGGACTGTGGTTCAATCCCCCAGCACCACATGCCAGCCAGCCCTGCCCCCTGGTGGGCTGAGCTGCCACACACACACACACACACACACACACACACACAATAAATAAATAAATAAAAATTTTTAAAAAACAAAATGAAATGAAGTCTCTTTGTCACCAAAATACATCAGACTTTGTCAATATGATTAGCATATTTTTGGCTATATAATGTTCTAATAAGTTGATGAGAGACCTTTTTTTTTGGTGGAACCAGGGATCGAACTCAGGCCCCTGCACTTGCCTGGCAAGCACTAATTCCACTAAGCCATCTCCCCAGCCCTGAGAGACCATTTTTGTGTTTTGTTTGTTTGGTTGGTTGGTTGGTTTTTGTTTTCAAAATAAGAATAAATTTTATTTTTAGTATCCTGTACATATTATCAGACATAACAATGCAAATTTTTGTTTGAAAAATATGTACCATTCTCTTTTATTGATAACTAAAGTACATGTTTTATACATTTTAATTATTTTAAGATTTAATGATAATAGCTACATTGTAAACTAGAAATTAAAATATACAAAATGGTTTTAGAAACACATGTATTTCTACTTTTTGGTATGCTTTTCAAAATCATACAAAAATAAACTTTTATTTTTAAAATAAAGACTTTGTAAATGAAACCAGATCGTCAAAGTTTTACATAGGTATGACAAGACAGCTTTTATACAAAAACAAGAACAAAAAAAGATGCAAAAATAACACTATTTTGGTTTCTTTGTTTTGTTTAGGGAGGGGTCTACAGGGTGCTCAGGGTCTCACTACTAGATCGAACTCATAGTGATCCACCTGTTTACAGCCTCCCAAGAGCTGGTATTACAGGCATGCACCACCACGCCCAGTCTCAATTGCCATCTCAGCACACCCCAGGGGCGGGGCAGGCACAGCAGGCCCAGGGATTGAACCCCCGGCCCCTGCACCTGCTTGCAGGTGCTTTAATCCACTGAGCTATTTGACTGGCCCTGTTTTTTCTTTTCTCCCTTTTAAATTTTCATCCTTTGATTTTTTTCTCTTATTTTTATTCTTCATATAATTTTTTCTCCATTCTTTAATCTTTGTCATCAGTTTTTTCTGTTAGCTTTCACTAATTATGTAAACATTCTTCCACAACCTAACAGGATCTTTTGCCCCACTTATACACAAGAGAGTATAGTTCCACCATAGAGAAGGATAAATTCAAGTCATTTGTAGGAAAATGGATGCACTCTGAGACAATAATATTAAATGACATATGTCAGACACTCAAGTTTAAATAGTGCATGGTTTCTTTCATATGAGAAACCAAATAGGTAAATAAAGTACAAGATAAAACATAACAGGAAATGCAGAAAGAGATCTTTCTCAAATTGGAAGGGAACGAAGAGATAAAGGGAGTAAGGAGGGAAAGCAGATGAAGAAAGGATTTGAGTAATGAGCATGCACACATCTGCTGGAGGAATGTGGTCATTATGTACTGCAAATGTGTACTAACAAAAAATAAAAATTGAAAAAAATGAATCAAATAACTAAATATTAAAACAGAAGTGCTCAACCTGCTGGAATATTAAATGGGTAAAACTCTTGAAGCCATAGGCACAGGCAAGAACTTTCTAAACAAAACCCCAGTTGCACAAGAAATAGTACAAAGAATTATCAAATGAGATCATATCAAATTAAAAAGCTTCAGGGCCAGTGAGTTAGCTCAGTGGACTAAAGCACTCGCCTTGGCAAGCTTAGGCAAGGACAGGGAGCATGGTTCCATCCCCAGCACCATATGCTGTGCCAGCCCCTCCCACAGGGTGTGCTGAGCCAGCCAGAGTCTGGGCATGGTGGTGCATACCTGTAATCCCAGAGCTGGGGAGGCTGAAAGCAGGAGGATCGCGAGTCTGAGCTGCACAGTGAGACCCTGCAGCAACCAAATACATTAAAAAAAATGAGAGAAAAAGGTCAAATTAAAAAGTTTCTATACAGCAAAAATGACAACTAAGAAAGTGAAAATAAAATCTACAGAATGGGAAAATTTTTTATAGTATTCGATGGATAGAGGACTACTACAGTATCTAGAACACTAAAAAATTAGAGCCCCCAAATAAAACAACCAATCAACACAAATGGGCGAATGAAATGAACAGAAATTTCTCAGAAACACAAATAGCCAATAAATACATGAAGAAATTCTCAACATCACTGACCATTGGTATAATACAAATTAAACAACACTGAGATTCCATCCTACTTGAGAAAAAATAAACTATCTTCACAAAATCAAATAATAGCAAATACTGGAGAGGCTGTCAGGGGAAATCTACACTGCCTGCGCAAGTGGAAGCTGATACAACCGCTATGGCAATCAGTGCGGAGATGCCTCAAAAAATTAAACCTAGAAATGCCACTTGACCAGCTATGTCAATTCTAAGTAGCTTCTCAAAAGTTAAAGGCATCATAGTACAGTGATAGACATGCATGCCCACTGTTTATAGAAGCACAGTTCATAACAGCTAAATCTTGGAAGCAGCCTATACATCCCTCACGTGGTTTCTCTTATATGGGAAACTCAAATTGTAAATAAAGATCAAAATAAAAGATAGATAGTATGAAGACAAGTGATAGAATTTTTCTTCAATGAGAAGGGGCTCAACAGAGGAAAGGGAGGGCTGGGGAGATGGCTCAGTGGAATAAGCACTTCCCTGGCAAGCGCAAG